AGGCAGGTCTGTGGTTGCTGCAGTACTAGTAACAGTGATCCTAATATGTCAGTGATATGAAATGATTCCTACATTAATTCCTGCAAATCAGATCACAGTTAAAGGGCCAAGAATAAGAGGGGGGCCACTCCAGCAACACGGGGCTGAAAAGAAACCAACTCCCTGGCTCTCCTGATCAGGTTACCCCAAGCTTGATTGCTTATGCTTTTCCCACTGCTTTTTATTAGGCAGTTTTGAATCTCAACATAATCCCGTTCAACTAGCTTCACTTTGGCCATAGCTATTATTCTCCACAATAAATATTTTGGTTTAAGCTGAAGCGCATCCCTTTCGGCAGTTCATGGCTTATAGAGAACATGATTGCTCCCCCTACAGGCTTTTCTAAAGCAGAAATAGAAAACAAAGTGCACAGTAACATAAGGAAAGAGGGATAATAAATTTTAATTAAGTAAAAAAAAAAAAAAAGGAGCGATTCAAGCACAATTTAATTTCTGCAGACAAAAGGGCCGTTTCGGGGACCTATTTCTGTTATGGCAATTGTATATAATATTGCATCTCTATTTCATACCATGGTAGAAAAGTAGATGGAAATTTCCATATCTGCAGGCAGAATGTAGCTCTCTCAGCGGTGGAAATTTTGTAAGAACAAACATGGACTTTCATGTAAAGGGTATTGTTTGAGTTATCCGAAGTAGTATGCGCTAAAAAAACAAGTTACTTGAGATGGAATGTAAAAATCTACAGCCCCGTATCTCTATATCAGTTTCTCAGTTTCACATAAATCAAAATGCATGGGGCTGGCTTTGAAGCACGGAGGACTGAAAAGTTCTTCCGAAATGCAAAGTTTGCAACTTTGTTAAGGTAAGCATGAACAGTTGTCCTCAAAACCTACAAGTGTAGGTACAGACAAGTCAAACATGAGTTTTAGGTCTCATTAAAAGGGGGAAAAAAGCAAGCAGTAACTCTTGAAGCAATGCCGTTCCACCATGACCAGCTGATTGCTTTGGTGACCACAACAGATACAGAACAGTCTAACACATCCAGAGTTTTACAATTCAGATATATTCCTAGATCTTCTTTAGAAGAAAGGATTTCACATGGCCAATCCTTCCATCTCACTAAAGTTTTTGGATTAGCCCCTGAAGAAACCTGTAGAGCTGCCTTGAAGCAGACTAATATAGAGCGGGGATGAGAACCTTGTAGCCTCACAAACTTCAAACTATGATTCCCAGCAATTCCAGCATCATTATTTTAAGGGTTTGTTGTGAATGGAGTTCTGGTACTAGTTGGCAGAACTCAGATACTCCCAATATCTCTTCAAACTATATCTGCACAAGGGACAGTTGTACGCCCTGGATCACGCACAACTCACCCAAACCTCTCCTTTTCCTGCTAGAAAAGTGTTTGTCTTTGAAGACTGTCAGAGAAAAGGAGCAAGAAGTTGTGTCCTGAGGTTGGGAAGAGAGGAGGAAAAGATCTACAAGGTGGGGAAAAACCAGTCAGAACAAACGGGGATTTTGGCATTGAGTCATTCTAAGAAAGAGGTAATAAGTTTAGCAAGCAATAGATCATAATGTTACTTTTTAATTTCATTATATGTAATTTTATTGCGTTTTTGTTTTATTGTCTCTGGGGATTATTCTCTATATAGACTGGTCCTTAAGTGTTCTAGGCAAACTGGTGCCTTTTTCCATCAGAACTGCTTCTGTACAGAAGCAGATCTATCATCTTGTGAATTACTCATAGCCTAGTATTGTCCTGCACATTTTTCTGTTGGAGGTTCTTTTCAGGTCCTGTCTTGATTTGAACAATTCAACATTGTTACCTCCTTTGCCGCTGAATGTTTTACGTGTGGTTATTTAAAATGAAGAATGAATTTTTACACGTTTTCCTTGTTTTAAGAAAGTTTGATTCTATTTATCTCTTGTGAGATTGATTTTTCTCTCCCCACAAAAGAAGGGGGAGGAAGGGCTGAGAGTCAAATGCCTTAATCCTGCAGGACCAGGAGGTGACACTGAACAGAACAAACTTTATTATGGTCAATGACCAGTGTAAAAAAGAAAAAAATGGAGCAAAATAGCTGTGTACATGGAGGTGCATTTAAGATATTTTATTGTCGTAAAAGCTATAAAACCTGTTCAGTAGTTAGCTAAAACTAAAAAAAAAACTATATAAAACTTATCTACTTTATTTGCTACTTTACAATCCTTGGTTGGGAGCATGTAAGAATAAGTAAAAAAATAAAATGTAGGAAATAAATAACTTTATGACATACAATATTAAAGAAGGATTAAATTTTGCCTTGCTACGCTTTTTTTTTTGTTTAATTTGTAAGGCACTTATGCTTTTGTGTGGCTTCAGAACAAAATCTTGCAACTTGTGCTGAAATATTAGGGGTTGTATCCTTCAGCAGTGGGTCTGCGGAGATGGCACTGTAGAATTTAATTCCTTTTTATCTTCCCCACCCACCCCCATTTTACTTGCCGGTAAGGCACACAGGCTGCAGGAGCCCTATCTAATGGGGAGCATGACAGGTGAAGCCATCAGAAGATAGGTGGTAGCAGCGGGGGGTGGGGGGGAATGTTCCAGGAGGCTTCTGGAAGAAGTTGAAGTTCTCCAGCCTTTTACCCTACAGGCTCAGCCCTGCCATCACAAGGTTGTTGGCAGTAAGCTGAACCCCAGCAACCCCTGGATCCATTCAGCGCCATCCACCACACTGTTGCATTGAGACATCCGACTGATATGAGATGGAGGGGTATTATCTTGGAATACCTTATGATGGAAAAATGCCAAATGTGGCACTAGGGATTATGAATGCTCTCCTTGGCCCACCATTTCTGGAGGGCACTTGTTTGAAGAAAGCATGTATTGGCTGGAATCACATGGTATGATACGACAGTTTATCACAAGGGTACTCAAACTTTGGGGTACCCCCTCCTTTAAAATAATCACTGAATTTGAACACCTCCCCATGAATGAAACAATGTTGGGATGGGCAAGAAATAAATATACAGTACTGCCTGCTTTTATAAATTAAATATTAACCACAGGGATTCTCAAATTTTATGGTGCCACAACTGCACAGCCCACAGTGGCATGTGCAGGCAAAGATCATACAATGTTTTGACAGCATTCCTCCTTTCCTGTACAACCTTGATAATTTTTTAAACAAATTTGTGGCATCTCTCTAAGTTGCTCATGACCCCCCATGCAGTCACAATCCAGTATGAAAATAAATCAGAATTGCCGGATACACCCAACATATTATACTATACACTGTGGTTTGCATTCCGAAACAAGTCCACAGAACATGCTAATCCTCCAAAATCAACAACTCACATTATGACAGCTTTTTTTAAAACAAAAAACTTTACTGATTTTTAAAATATTTTAAAAATACAATTGATGTATTTATACAATTTAATGTACTTATACAAAAGAAGACAATTGATGTACTTATACAAAAATAATAGAAAAAACTATATGCTTAAAAAAACTCAAATAAAGCTAATGAAGAGAAAAAGCAAGCTATGAGGCAGAAATGAATTAGAGAGGGAAAAAAGAGAATTAAAGAGGAAATAGAGGAAAGAATGACTAAAAAATAAAAATCCAAAACAAAACAAAACTAGTTTAAAGGCTGAGAGCTGACAAATTTCATTGAATCAGACTTTAAAACCTGGTGCTCAAGACATCCTTCCAAGAATAATCACTTTGTTCACAAACAGTTCAGGCATGAAACAACCAAAGCTCTTCACAGACTGACAAATACCAGATTTTTAACATGTTAATATCTTTCGGGCCTAGGATCTATCCAAAAACATGGTCCACTTTATTGTTTATAAGGTTCTTGGAGGGATGCTATGACAATATCATCCAGCAGTAATCCTATTATTTAATAATATATAATATTAATTTCTAATAATACCATTAGTATTATTATCTAGCATGTACTATTTTAGTATTCTTATCTTAATAATGCCTATTATCCTGTAATTCCTAATATTAATATATATGAATGCTCTTATTGATATTATTTTCTGATTATATCATTAGCATTATTATCTAGCAATATCTCAGATTTTCTCTTAATATGGCTATCTAGTAATAACGCCTAATATTACCCTGCAATTCCTAATATTATTATACATTGATGAAAATGCTCTTATTAATATATTATTTTCTAATCATATCATTACCATTATCTAGCAATATTATCCAACAATTCCTAGTATTAATACATAAGAAGCTCTTATTAATGTATCATTTTCTAATAATATTATTTGCATTATTATCTGGTAACGATATACTCTCTCTTAGTACGACTACCTAATATTAATGCCTAATATTATCCAATATTCCTATATATAGATGAAAATACTCTTATTAATACATTATTTTCTGATCATATCATTACCATGATTATCTAGCAATATCTTAAATTTTCCCTTAGTATGATTTCATGGTAATAATGTTTAAAATAATGCCTAATTTTATCAAATAATAGCTAACATTATTAATATATAGAGAGACAAGAATGCTCTTATTATTAATGCATCATTCTCTGATAATATTATTTGCATTATCTAGTAATGGCACGCTTTCTCTCAGTAACTCAGACGACCTAGTAATAATGCCTAATATCATCCGGTAATTTCCGATATTATTAATTTCTAACGATGAGCTCTGAGGGACACGTGCACAACATGCGCCCTTCCAGTTGCGTCCATCCCCGGCCTGGCCCTCCTCGCCGCGGAGCAACAGCCGCCGCCGCGGGGCCGCCGGGAGACCCCAAGGCCTGGACGGGACCCCGGTCCCTCCCGGGTCTGTGAGGAGGACAGCCCATCTCTATAGCAACACATGACTCTAACTTCCGTCCAGCGCCGGAAGCCGTATAGTAATAAGGCCCGCCGGTGGGCTCCACGTGATGTCGCTCTAGGCTTTGGAACTCTATGGCGGAACCCCTTCCTTCCTTGCTTCCTCTGGACGCCAGGCGGCTCCGTGCTCGGGTGTTCTGCTGGATCCTACGCGAAGCTGTAGAAGCGCCGCTCTGGGCTCCGCGCCGAGGCTTTTCCCATCCATCCGCGCATTCGAAGCCGAGTCGGAACTGTCTGGGAGGGCTCCTGCGGCTGACCGGAAGGAGCTGGGAGCCGACCGGAAGGGGAAACGGGGCGGGGAGATCCGTCGGTGGGCCCTCTCCCGCTTGGCGTGAGGGCCGCCCGGCTTCCTGACGGCGCTTGTGGCCAGCCGCCCCGGAGAGACGGCGCCGGCATGGCCGCGGTCGTGGTAAGAGAAGGCCGGGCGCCGAACTACAACCCCCATCCTCCCCGGTTGCCCCGACCGGTCGGCTGGGGAGGATGGGGCTTCTGATCCGACGCAGGGTGGGAGAGGCCGAGGGGTAGCAGGCCGGGAGGAGCGAGATTATGTTTTCATTAATGGGATATGCGATATTTGTTATAGCTATATATAGGGATACCAAAAGTCAGCCCCATAGGCCAGTCTCCGTATGTTTTAAGTATAAATATAGGAGATTTTTCTTCTTCTTTTCCTTCTTAGTTTGTACTTTTAATTTTCTTTAAACTTTCTTATTTTAAGATTAAACAGTTTTGTTCCAAAAAAAAAGATATTTTTTAAAAAATAGAAAAAAAGTACGTTTTATGAATTAATGTATTTTTTTTTCCAGAGAAAATGTTAATTTCATTTAGGAATGTTCAAAAGTAATAGGTCAAATCAGGAAGGAAGGGTTTAAAAGGACACGGCAACCCATTCAAACCTTTAATATAATTTGTATGATAAGTTGTCCATGAGGCCCGACTTTTGGTACACCCTGAACATACACCCACATTTGTTCTACTGTATTGGAGCCTGCCTACAGTCTAGGATCATGCCGGCAAACACAGCTTAGTAAGTAAACGTTCCTTACGGAAAAAAACTTCCCAATAGAGAAATGTTTGTACACAGTTAAATTCAGTCATCTAAATGCCCCATTCGGACTCCACAGTCTTCCTGTTCATGTGGTTTTTAGTTGTGAATTGAATTAGGAATTGGACATATTGTAAGCCGCCCAGAATCTTTTTGGAGATGGACAGCCTCAATAAATCCAGTAAATGAGTGAGTAGGGGCCCTCCTCAAAGATGTGCGTTCAAATCCCTTCTCAGGCATGGAGCTCCCTGGGTGGCCTTTGACCACACGCACACAGATGCAAATACATACGTTTCCCAAAGGTTTCCATGACACCTGAAGCCAAATGGGCTGGAGAGGTTATATGAACCCAAAAGGGTGTTTCAAACCCCAGCTGGGGTGTGTTGTATGAAGCCAGAAAATTAAGTTCAGAAAATGGCAGAATAATAAACTAGGATTTTGTGGGAAAGAACCAGAATGTTTCTCTGCTAACTTTATGCAGCTGAAAATGAAGGGGGAGACCCAATGTTGAGACTGTAAAGATTTAAATTGTTTCGTTTTGCAGTTTTTCTCTTAACTGGGTGGGAGAGTAGTAAAGAAGCAAAACATGGCAAACAGAGAGAGGAAGGTGGATTGAAGAAAGGGTGCCAAAAACAGTTAACAATAAAGTGAGGGATAAGGTTGGTTTCTTCTCGTCCATGTTGGACTTTCAAGCAGTTTTTGTTAAGGGCTTCAGCAGGTGGCAGCACCTGGCTAACCTTCCACAGGCTCAGAAGTTTAAAAAGGCTGGGTCTTACAAGTGCTTAGACAGGACATTGCCAGGAGATCCTTTGGCTGTGGCCCAGCAATTACTGTAATAAACCATGATGACCTCAAAGTAACATTATTGGCATGAGTCGTCATCCTCTCGCCACCAACATCCATGTTGGGATCTACGCTGGGAATTCAGAAACATCCCAGGAGATAATTGCAAGGCACTTCTATACTGTTATCAGGAACGCAACATTGACATGCCAGTGTAGCGAGCAGCAGTCTCCGTGTGCTTGAAGGCTGTGTTGCCTTCATTGTTAAGCAACTATTTCTCAGCTTGATGCGGGGGCAGACAACATGTTTTGGTTGGGCCCTCAGTTGACATTTTGTGAGCATGTGGTGAACGTGTTTATGGAATGGCTGCTCGGCAGGGGTCACCAATTACAAAACACCTGTTCATCAGAAGGGGAAGCCCAAAGGCATTGCTGCAAATCAGTAGGCTAGAGACTGGTGGGGTTTTGTAGTTGTTGCAGTAGGTGAGCTTCCCTGTTTTGTTTTGTTTTTTGTTAAATTAAAAGAATGTAAAAGTAACATAGGGCAGAGGACCTGTGAAATGACAATACCACCAACAATATTGGACTGTAATAATACAATAAAAACATGGCATTACTTAGTAATAAAAAACGATTAAGTGCCATCAAATCAATGTTGACTCTTAGTGACCACGTAGATTTTCTCCAGATTTATATCAGGTCAACCTGATATAAAAAACATAATGGGGGAAAAATCACTAAGAATCACCAAGAAGAGAATTCTTTGTGTTGCAACCACTTAATTTTGCATTGTTTGATTTTTGATTGATTGATTACGTGCCATCAAGTTGGTGTAAATTCTCAGCGACCACATAGATAGACTTTCTCCATGATGATCTGTCCCTAACCTGGTCCTTCAGCTCTTCTAATGGTGCCCCAACCGCCACTGTAACTGAGTCCATCCACCTTCTGCTGGTTGTCCTCTTCTCTTTCCTTACACCTTTCTCAGCATAAGAACCATCTCCAGAGAGCTAGGTCTTCACATAATGTGTCCAAAATAGAATAATTTGACCCTGGTTATTGACTGATAATGTTCTTTTTACTGCTTTTAATATACCAATATATTTAAATTTTTGGTGTTTTTTTTTCTCTTGGTAGCAGAAAATCAGTCACATTCTGGTACAGATTTAGTGTGCTGGAACATTGAAGCCCATTTTAGGGTCAGACAATTTTCAGGGCACTTGGAATGTCCCTTCCTAGAAACAGAAGAGCCTATTTGGGCCGCAGGTTAGTCTCTGATGGACTTTCTGAACCCCTGAGAGCCAAATGGTCACATAAAGGCCACACGTCTTCTGAATGTTAAACATAGGTCTGCTAGGGCTTGGCAGAGTAGAATTGCTAAATTTGGCTAGCATATTGTTGATGTTCCTTGAGGATAATTTCATTTAACTATGTGGGTTTATTTTAGGAGTTCAAAACCTACGTGGATCAAGCATGTAGAGCAGCAGAAGAATTTGCAAATATTTATTACGAAACCATGGATAAAAGAAGACGGGTATGTAGATTTCTGGTGGCTATTTTGTTAGTATATTAAGAATGTGTGGTATCAATTCTTTTTAAGCATGTATCTGATCTCCTAACTTCACTTTTTCTTCCTTAACTGTGGTTATTATTATAATTTGGTTACTGGTTAGTAGCAGGCATATTACTCAGATTCAGGTAATTTAAAGAACTTGGTAAATATTTAATCAGAGTATGTTTCACTGTATACAGTGGCGTTGCCCACGTAGAACTGTATGGAGCTGTCAACCCATGCTGGTTGGGGAATTCTGGGAGTTGAAGTCCACACATCTTAAGGTTGCCAAGGTTGAGAAACACTGTTTTATTTAATCAGAGTATGTTTCACTGTATACAGTGGCGTTGCCCACGTAGAACTGTATGGAGCTGTCAACCCATGCTGGTTGGGGAATTCTGGGAGTTGAAGTCCACACATCTTAAGGTTGCCAAGGTTGAGAAACACTGTTTTAAATCATGCTTAAGTATTCCTTCTTTAATAGCAACAGCTTTCTTTTACAGTATTTACAATTTTAATGACTAAAAAGGGTCAAACTCATCCAGAGAACAAATTATTTATATTTTTATGTGCATGCCAGCTGAAAGAGGATGCACACAAAGGGTCAAGAATTTGACCTTTAATAATTGGATGCATCAGTGACTGCTATTTTTAAATAGCCTACGGTCATCCTTCCTGCCTCACTGTTCATATTGAACTAAGGTGCAGAAAACGTGTTGAGGCTGAAGCGTCCTAAGTTTGAGCTGTCCTATCCTCCTTTCACTGGAGATGTTCTGAAATTGGAGCAGCCTGTTCTGACCTTGAAACATTTTGCAGAATTCCTATCTTTAGTTTCACAGTCCTAATCTAACAGTTTATTGGGAGCAGATGTTTAACTGAGGGGAGTTTTCCCAGAGGACTTCTTTAAGAACTTTTCAAGTGTTTTGTAAAGAAAAAGTGACAGGTTGACTGTATGACAAAAGCAGATTTTTCAAGAGAGGTTTGCAAGTGGAAAGGGCAGATGCTGCTGGCATTTTACGTCATGTTTTCTCATGTTCCTCAGGTGTTAACCAGACTCTACACTGATGATGCAACTCTAGTTTGGAATGGGAATGCTATATCTGGCCAAGATGCCCTTGCTAAATTCTTTGAGATGTTGCCATCTAGTGAATTTCAAGTTAACACGTTTGACTGCCAGCCTGTTCATGGTAAGATAACTTAAGCAAATGCCACCCTCCACAAAGTTATTAATATGAGTCAGCTTGTGTAATCTTTTCAGATGGTGTGAAGAACAAACAACTCTACTCTGAAATCCAATTAAAGTACTGTATTTGAACTTACATAGCTAGGAGTTATCTCCACAACATCTGTGTGGGGGGCAGCGTCCTTAAATATTCTTTTAGAAACTAGTGTGGTAGACTAGTATCCTGCTTAGTCCATATGAATGCAACCTCCACTTCTGCATTTCTTATAAGGGGAATATATAGTTCACTGAAGAATGAATTTTCCCACAGTGTCTATTAGTCTTTGTCTGCAGTATGAACAGCAAACTTCTCTTTTTCTCAGTTTGCTTGAAGAGTGACAGCATGTGGTTTGAACAATCGATTCTCAAGAACGCATGACAGAATGCTTGCAGTTGCAGAACAGAATTGCTGGCACGGTTGTATTTTGACAGGGCATTTTTTTTTTAGGAAAGAATCAGGGGACACCAGCTGCGTCTGTGTGTGTGTATTTTTTAAAAAGACGAGAGATTGAACAGCTGGATGCTGCTGGTAGACACCACCGATTAGCTAACATCTCTCTGCTCAGATTAATCCTATGATAAGTAATGCCGCTGAATTTTACCTCTAAGTATTGGGGAAAGAATTAGAATGAGATCGAATTGCCTTTTCTTAGAAATGTTCATACTGCTTATGTATAAAAGTAGGCTTCTGAGGAGCGACCATGTTTTAGCCTCTTTTTCTTTTCTTTCTCAAGAGCAAGCGACTCAGAATCAGACCACCGTTCTTGTCGTGACCTGCGGGACTGTCAAATTTGATGGGAATAAGCAACAGTACTTCAACCAGAACTTTTTGTTAACAGCACAGACCACGAATAACAACACAGTCTGGAAAGTCATGAGTGACTGTCTCCGTTTCCAGGAATGTCCTTATTAGTGGGGAGCAACAGTCAATGTTTTCTTCTGGATTTTTATTTTTTTTATAAATACCCCTGGCTTTTGGGATGAACCTATTGTGTATGGAAATTCACCTGTCTCTCCACACCTCTTTGTACGCTCCACAGCTTCGTAACAGAATAAATTGTTTTTTAATGGAAGAACTTCCCTGCCTTCAAGATTTCATTAAGCTGCATCACGAGCAAAAGACTTCTGGTTGAGTTGTATTGATTACTTTTTTAGGTGACGGTGGAACTAGTTTTGTAAGAATTCTGTGCACTGCTTTATATTAACTGATTTCAAATTTGGCACATGGCGGACCCTTTTCCTCCTTTGAATTTTTTGGGAGAAATGCTATTAGTGACAAGTTTTGTTCACTTCAAGGAGAATTAAAATGGTGGTGGGAGAGACAAACATTGTATCTGTGATTCATGAGGTCTTTTGGAATTTGCAGGTCTTGCTGAAACAAGTACAAGGAATTTGCTTCAGGCTTGGTATTGCAGATATATTACTTTGGAATTCCCCTATGTGTTTATGCTGTTTTTATACATGTTTGCATTTTTCACGTATTCCATGACAGTAATTGCTTCGTATTTCAGTATTTGGGGGGGGGGGGGGGTTTTATAAGAAGGAAAAATCCAGCTAAGGGAATCTTCCTCTTGTCTAGATTGTCCTTCATTTGTCAGCTGGCACTTTTATAATTTCACATAACTACAATGAACAGAACATTTCTGAGCAGTTTCAGATAGAAACTTAGGGATAAATAAATTTAGCGGGATAGAAAATACCTCACTTTTCTCTGAACAAACTTGCATTAGGAAATGAGTCTCAGTTTTCCCTTTTGTTTCCCAATTTTTCCCGATGTGTGGAAAAGCTGCCTGGTGCCTTTTATACTACTTTCCCATGCTACACCGTCGCCACGTCCAAATCCAGTCTTGGTTAAGAGATTCTTACGTAACGTTTTGAGCATTTGCTTATTTTCCCGCTTCTCCAGTGCCACAAATTTGAATAGTAAGAAGCATTACAGGAAGGAAATTAACATCGAAAGCTTTCTACTAAAATCTCTTTGTTAAACAGGAAAAAAAATTACGTCACACCTCCGTCGGCCATGGGTTGTAAAGGATTCCAGAAGCCACACAAACTTTGCATTGAAAGACCCTTTGGTGTCCAAATCTTTCCATCAGTAACAATGAAGCCTACTAATAAGATGCCTCTGGAAAGGCCTGTCATAATCATGCGTCCTGCTCATCTAAGTTGTTTAGGAAACAATTGCCATTGGGTGCATCAGTGTTTCTCAACCTTGGCCACTTTAAGATGTGTGGACTTCAACTCCCAGAATTCCC